TTTTTACATGTTCAGATATAATGTTTTCTGGAGGTTTTTTTTTTTAGCACAAATGATTCACTTGGAAGCATGTAATGAGCATTTGTGCCACATTATAAAGTAAATTAGATAATTGACATTACCAAAAAAAAGCAACAATGCTGTGGTATCAGTTAAGTCAACTCAGATGAAATGCCATTTAACCCGAACGAAAAGCAGACTGTACAATTGAAAAAATCAAATCACGTGCAATTTGCTATTTCACTATAAGTACATAAGTCAGTAATTCACATTACCACACACCTACTACTGTCGATCTCCTTACAACCGCCAGCAAATTGTCAATGTTTACTTCAGTTTACACACATTTGTATAACAATCTATCAATAGATATCTTCAAATACATTTATCATTCACTTATTTCTGTTGTTCTACTTTGGAGCGGGGGTCTCAAGCACAAATGACAGGAGGGTCACCTCACATTTCCATACATATATAAACAGTGACAAATACAAGAGTTAAAAGAAAAACAATAACTCTTTTCTTTGTTGAAGAATTCCATTAGGCAACTGGACATGAAATTTTCACTCAACAGAGGAGGTGGGCTAAGACACCCACATACCAAAACCATTCTGATGAGGATTACAACGACCCATCAGACTCCTAACGACTGTTAACATGACCCCAACGGCCCACCCAACAGGGTATATTTGCTGTAGTCCCCTCCACCAATTAGAACTGAAGAAGCCTCTTGGATGAGAGGCCAAACGTCTTCTTGAGAAAATTTCACGCCCAGTTGCCTAACGTAACTCTTCCACCTTGACCTGGATGACTGAGAATCTTCATAGACAACTTTTTTTCTTTATTTGCCTAAAACTCAGGTTTTATTTTTAAGGCTAACAACAAAACTCTTTTCTACGTTCTTCTTGATGGCCAGCCAGGTGTCATTCTGATGACTTTCTAACATTTTTCAACAACTGTTATCACATCAATCATTTCCATAAGAGTACTCACCTTGGCGGTGTTGTCCTTTGAGGCACTGATGAACATGGTGAGGTCTGGATGTCATTGATGTGCCTGCTGTGCTCCTCAGCTTTCTCCAGGACTTCTCCGGAATACTGACAAATAAACAACAACAAAAGTTCCTCATTATCACAAGCTCTACAAAAGATGCTAACTGCAATTCATTATTTTCTTCAGTATTTCATTTCTATAATCCTATGTGCAAACTATTTCCTTAGCAGTAATCAGGAAGCCATGTACTATCTGCAATCTTGTTTCTTTTACAGTATTAATTTGTTTATGTTGCACGTGGCGATTACCTACCGATCTGTGGATCCCTCAGGTCAAACAAGTTCATGAAACACTGACAGCCCATCTGCTTGTCTGTGGAAAACATGATGTTGCCGCTGAAATCAAACCCACGTGTTCTGACGGCAGACATTAAAGAAAGGACACGGAGCAAAAAGTAAACAACAAAATATAAAACTTGACAGGAAATTATCCAAAATACATTTAAACACTCATACACTAATATGTCTGTTGGAACTGCCTATATAGCTAACTATTTAGTTTCATTATATCACCACAACCATTTACATTGTGCATATATATATTTTATATTTATATTATATACTTGTTCAAATAACATCCTTATTATTATACTAGTTCTGTAAACAACAAAATATAAAACTTGACAGGAAATTATCCAAAATACATTTAAACTTAACCTGTTTGCTGGAACTGCCTATATAGCTGTTTATTTAATTGTATTATTTCACCACAACTATTTACATTGTACATATATTTATTTTATATTTATATTATATATTTGTTCACATAACATCCTTATTATTATACTAGTTCTGCTTATATATACATATCATAGGTACAATGTGGTATACTTTACTATACATACACATACCAATTTAATTTAGAATATTAATTGTATAACAAAATATATATAATATTTGAAATTGCAATCAACAACACCACACATGGCAAGAATAATTACCTACTAATGCTTCAAACACCAATCTATCTTCTTCTACTAACATCCACTGCCCCATTTCGCATATTTATTGAGTGTGCTGCTACTCATGTATTTTACCTATTTGTACATTTTTATTGTTGTTTTGGTGCTGTACTGCTGCTGTAACTCCTGAGGGATTCAGAAACTTCTATCACACACATTTTCTTTTCACCCACCGGTCTCGCAGTCCCACAGTCGACTGCTGTTGTCAGCTGATAGTGTCAAAACATTTTGCTGTCCCCTGAGAACAGCCAGTTAGGGAACGTAGCATGTGTCATGATTACACATTTACCTGGTACAATAACTGTCAAACAATTAATCACAATATTAAAATTATTATGCTTTTATTGGTTTCACAACACTGTGCCGTTGCATGAAAACATAACCTTTAATGTCATAACATTGTTGCAGTACGCCAGTCTTCCCTTTTTTATTGCGTTTATCGTTTGAGTTCACCTTCACGTTGGTTATATTTTCTGACGCTACTCAGGAAATGTTAAGGCCCTCACATCAGTAATATCAACTTATGACATACTTGGTGAAGACAAGGCAGCATACTGAGCTAAATAACATAAAAGGATACCGTCGTAGGTACCAAGTACCACACGTTGGCCACCTGTGTGGGGAGACATTGTTGACGATAAATATTAAAAGGATTCAGTGCAATCATGGCTTCACTCCACAAACTATTGGTTTGCTCTACACTACTGGCGCCACCAATAACCTCAGGAAGAAATACATGTTGCACTACTTTCCTTTTAATTTGAATGAAAATAAATCAATTCTACTGGTCTTAGTCCCCTTTTTATGATTACAGTATGATTTTCATATCATACACACTATAGAGCATATAGCCTTATGTTTGTAACACAATTGCAAGTCAAAACTAGCAGAGGATTACTCTGCTACTCGACTAGCATAGTAGTGTTGCCATTTGTAGCTCCACGCGGACATTCCATATTCTTGAGGTCAAACTAATTACTATCCTATAGTCATTGGTACTTGTTAAGCGCAATCATTTCGTGACACTCACTGGATCTTTAGCGACGGAAAACAGAAGGTCTTCTCCGTTGTACTTGATCTGAGTGATGGACCGTTCGTGGCCCTGCAGTAGGATGGGTTTCTGTACAGAAAAGAAATATTTGCAATTTTATTTCATATTTTCTAAAAGGTGCATCAGCCCAGCTCAATCTCTTGTCAAAGGCCAATTTCTTATTCATCACGACAACTCTGTGTTCATTATTCAGGAAAAACTACTGAACTACGAATCATTTTAACCACAAACAAGGCTAGCGTTAGCTGCCGAGACGCATATGCTAGCTTACATTACAGGCGTTAGCTGCCGAAACGCATATGCTAGCTTACATTACAGTAACGGTCTCGAACGAACGACTATCATTTCAAACAAAATACAACCGAAAATTGTTTTCAAAAACCCACCATTTCGGCCAATCGTATGTAGCCACCGTGCCCAGTTTTTGGAACTGAACGCCCGCTGGAAGCCCAAACGGCTAACACTCAAACAAGGCTAACGTTAGCTGCCGAGACGCATATGCTAGCGTACATTACACTAACGGTCTCGACCGAACGACTGTCATTTCAAACAAAATACAACCGACAATTGTTTTCAAAAACCCACCATTCGGTCAATCACATGTAGCCTCCGTGCCCAGTTTTTGGACTTGAACGCCCGCTTGAAGCCCAAACGGCTAACACTCGTGTATCATGGGCCAGATCGCAGCCGGAAATAACGACATTACAAAGCATTCCTATTTCCGTTATACATACGTTTCGATATCAGCGCGCCCCCTACAGTTGACCGCTGACATTCACGTTCTTTTTTTTAGTTTGTTTCGTCTCTTAGAACTTTTTCTTTGATAGAAAGAGCGTGCTTTGACCACTGTAACAGAAAAGCCCATTGCTCAAAAGCTCAAAAATAAATAATTTAAAAACAAAACAATTTCAAATTTGTTTTAGTTAATTTTAGCTATATACTCTATCTCAAGGTATTACTGTATACCTATATATATAAGTATATATAAAAGTGTGACATTAGTTAAATTAACCTCCTTTCCCACAGCTCTGTTTTGCTTGTATATGTGGAACATATGACTGACAACCGTCACTTCAAATGAATTATTGGCAAATATTTTCATTTGGTGTCCTGTAGCGTGGCTGTAAGCTGTTGTTGGTGTAGTTGTGCGCCCTCAGATGTGACATCAAAGCAGAGGTAACTGCCAGATCATTGAGACTGATTGAGCTCCTTTGTCTCCTGATTGGACAATTCACACTTACTTGAAAGACACAGTGGGATGGCACCCTCAAGTCTGCCGAGAGGTGTATATTGCCTCGAGCTCAAGTCATTATGTGTCTGCAGCTAAAAAACATGACTGATTGAGTCATTTTGTTATAAAAAGCATGCCACGTTCACATATATTTGTGATTGAGAAAGTACCTGGAAGTACCTGCTGGTCGAGTAATTACATTCCCTGCAGGCCATCAGATGTTGACATATGCTGTATCATTCAAATTAAGGCTTCTCTAGCCGTCTCTTTGTTTATACGTACCTGAGTGAACGTCAGTGGTGCCTCCACCTCGAAGAACAAAAAAAACAAAAAAAAAACAACACAAATACATACACCTCCCACCAAGAGGACCAGCTATGTGGAGAATGGTTAGAATTCCACACATCTGTATTTAGTATAATGAGAACAACACCATTCATTTACATGATCACTGGACCATTCAGTCATTTATACACCACCTCTATGCAAACACCCAGAGAGTGCACACCCTCAGTCTGCATTAAGTGGAATAGTTCCTGGCACTAATGGAAAAATGAGCATCAATAAAATATTCATTGAAAGAGGACAGCGAGTGGTTTGGATGAATGACAATGACCACTGGACTGATGGTGAAAAGGTGCTAAAGTGGCTGCTGTAGACGGACTGGAGCCAAAGACTGATGATGACATAGTTAAAGGTTAATGATAAGTGGTGGCCAATGATGACAACACCTGCAGCTACAGGCACAGCTCCAGAGGATTAATCAAAGGTTTATGACTGCAGTCAGGTAAATAAATGCTAAATAATTTTAAAGTGAGGAAATGCAGAGGCAAAAGTAAAGTTGACAAATTACAAATTCAGAAGACAAGACACAAAAGACATTTGACTAACAAATCAATCTCATCATTAGTTAATGTTATAAATAAAATAATGTATTAAAGGTATTTTCCTGGGCTAAAATAAAATAAAATAAAATAAAATAAAATAAAATAAAATAACTTTAGGTTGTTAGGTGACATAATCAGTTCAGAAAAAAAGAAACAAAAGAGACCAAAACACATTGGACATGTTGTCCATGTTTTTATGCTTGAGTAATTAAGTAGATTCTTAGAAAATCTAATTTAATTTTAATCTCATCATTGATGTTATTAAATTAAATATTAAAGGTATCTCCTTATCTCCTTTAAGTTTCAAAATCAGATTTTTGTTTTTATTACATAACATATAAGCAATTAATACATTTCCATCTATCCATCACTCTTACCATTAATATATTTTAGTCTGATTGTGAAATGACTGAATTTAACTCGTAAATTTCAACACATTTATACGTGTTGTTTGAGGCTACTACCATTTAAAACAAAAAACAAAACACGCTCTTGTAGCTTCTTCATTAGCCATCATACTTCTTAATTATTAACATTTAAAAAGGAAAAGAGCGTCAATTCGTGCACCTTCCAAACCTTGCACTGCAGGGGGCAGTGCAACAACAAGTCAACGAGTTTGCCCTCCTCTCCAGAGAGATGCAATGACAGGTGTAAAAAAAAACGTTTTTCTTCAATTTCAGTTTTTAATATTTACTGTGGCTAAGACGTTCCTTTTTAATGTGATTTAATGCCAAATACATTGACTTGGATTTGTTAAGCCTATAAAGGCTTTGGACAATTTCTCCCTTATGAAAACATCCTCATAGTGTAATGTCAATTTTTGATTTAAAGTCAAAGTTTTATTTCTATCAGCTGTAATCCTCAGCCCTCAGTATGTCGGTAAATGATGTTATTCACATGTAACTATGTAAAAACGTACTTTTTTTATTTTGCATTAGTTCTAACAGTAATGAGAATATGGAAATGAATTGTGTAATGTAATCACTAATTATGTTTTTAATATTATGTAGTCACCACGCCACAGCCATATATAATATATAAGTCAGACAAGGAACGAGAGACAGAGAGCGAGAGAAAATGAAAAACGACAGAGGGAGGAAGCCAAGGAAGAGGAGGAGGTTTTAACAAAGACATGACTCAGAGACTGTTATTAATACATTTAAAATCATTGCTTATATATATGTGTGTGTGAGTAATTCTTCCACCATTAGATTCAAACACATCACTATGTAAATTATTCAGCTGCAACTGTTGCTTGGACAAAATAAAGAAATTTAAATTATGTTATTGGACGGCGGTGGTACACACTGCCTATAACAATATATTTGGTGGGGAAATAATGAAGCACATTGTTGATGTAAATCTGTTTTTATGGCATTAAAGCAGCAATACTGAGGCAACTTCTTAGGCACTGTTGCCCATTAGAGTTTCCCAAGAAACTGCCTAGTGTATCACCACCCTTAGTTATTTACGCGCAGGTGAAGAATACTTTTTTTTTTAATAGCCAGACCTGTCATAAACGTGCACCACATACAGTTTCAATAACGAGAATACATAAGCAAGTCTTTATTACCCAAATGTAGACACTTTATTAGAAATAAAAAGTCAGTGTAACAATATGAGTCCACAGTAACACAACAGCAGTGTGAAAGAACGTGTTACAACATTTCAGTAGAACATATCAGGTTAAAAAAAAAGTACTATTACCAACTGTTCATACATGAGACCATAGACACTAGCCGTCCCCTGTGTGTGTACTCGTGCAGAGAGGAGGATGAAACGGTGTAATACCTCAGCAGCCCCATTTTCCCATGCCCTATGCCTCTTTAACGCTACATCTCAAAGAGGTATATGCATAGGAAAAAGGAACAGCGAGTGCAAAGAGCCGTGCTGCCAAACCACTGGACACACACACTCCTGGAGAGCGGTGACGGAAGAGCAAGTCAGCTGCATGTGAAACACACAAAACATAGAAAAGACAATTTACTTCATGCTACGAATGAACGTGTTTTAAGAGTCAAAAAATCGAATCTAATAGAAATGCAAGTTAAACATTTTTTAAAAATTTCCAGTTTCTGAACCAAGTAGTGATCAGTGTTTGAAAATGCATGTGGTGTGAGGAGGACTTACCCTGTCAGGCACCAGATGAGTGTCTCCTGGGAAAGCAGCGGCAGCGGGCCATTTATCTTTCCACAGAGACCTTGAAGATGTTTGAGTTAGACAGTGTATTGTTGTGCGTGCTCACACACTCACTCGCACACATGCACACACTCCATGCTTATCCACGACTCCCTTCATGACTTCAGTCCATGGTTTCACACCTGCTGAAAAGACAAAGACTCTTTGCTACATAGTCACCATGGATATGGAGAAAAAGTAAAGAGCTGTCAACTTTGTTGAAAGAGTCCTGTTAACAGTTACACTTTGTATCTTTAAAAGTTATTTTACAGACAAGTGAGGAAAAACTAAGAACAGCTTGTTCCTCTTGGTGAAAAGTTTCCTATCTGTTCTGTTCTGGGGTTTTTTTGTTTGTTTTTTTTTTTTTTTGCTGTTTTGCTGTTTTGCTAACTTTCTCATGCTTTTTACACCCAAGGTCTCACCACAAGGACTCTCTGGCTGTGCTGAAGTGAGACAGAACGACAGACAGACAGTGTGTGTATGTGAAGGGAGGAGGGGATGGGGTTCTGGAATGTCAAGGCCAGTGCAGCCAGCCAAAGCTTTACTCTGAATTTTATTCTCCAAGTTGAAGCTATCTGTGTTTGATGACCATGTCGACCGACCTCAGGTCACACCATACCATAACAGGATTAAAATGTGACTGAAAGATAATGCTTCATATATTACAAGTGCACAGTGTGTTTACTTTCGCACAAATATACTTATAATAAAATAGTTTTTGGTCAACATCTTTGAAGAGCCTTGGTTTTTCTGTCACTCACTCACACGCCTTCACCATCTACACATTCAAAACAAACAATGAACTAACTTCCTGTTTCACTCCTCTGTCCCACAATCCCAAGCACATCATCAGGTCCTCTCTGAACAACAGTACTCAGTACCATACATACACTGCTGTTTCTCATCTTGCTGCACATATTTCTAGGTGCCATATTATAACATTGCTTCATTTGATCACTTCATTTGTTGCTGTTTATATCTTAACATTGTATTCTATTATTATTACTTTTATATTTACGCTAATATATTTGCATGATATATTATTATATTATTACTATTGTACTGCCATCATAAATATTATAGCTATAATATCGCTGCTATATTACAACATTATATTGCTATTTTTCATATATTTCTATGGGTCAAACTATACTATACTGTACTACTATGTTATTCTAAAATTTTAAACTGTATTTCTTAATATTTTAATTTGTATTTTATATCCTGTAAAAATGTTACAGTTACAACTTATTTTAATGATTCTCTATTTATTTATTTTTTACTTTTTACTTTTTACTTTTACTACTATGTTTTGCTATATCTATTTAATATGTTGAGTGATCATTGCTTGGTAGGAAATCCTTTAGACCCAATATGTCAGCCAGCTGACTGGAAACAAATATTTGAACATAATTAAGATTTTAAAGGTCATACCATGACAGGGACA